TTTTCTTTTCTCTCTATGTCTTTCTCTCGTTCATCTCTTTTTGTTCTCTTTCTCTCTCTTTTTGTCTATCTCTCGCTTATCTCTTGTTTCTCTCTCTTTTTCTGTTTGTCTGTCTGTCTTTCTCTCTTTCTCTCTCTGTCTCTCACTTTTTTTCACAATTTTACTATTTTCTCTCTTTTTTTCTCTCTATCTGTCTGTCTATTTGTCTCTCATTCATTGTGTTCGCCTTGTTTACTCCCCTCTCCCTTCTTCTCTATTTACCAAGCTATCTTTTGATTTATCGTGACACTACAAGAAAATGCACTTTTTGTGACCACTTTGTCTTTTTATCGCTCATCACTCTGTCTTTGTCTTTATCTCTCTTCTCTATCTGTCTCTTACTCATTTCTCTCTCACCACCCATCTCCTCTACCACCTTCACCACTACTGCAAATGGCATTCCACTACCACAACTACTACCACTGTTGCCATTCCGCCTCTACGACTATTATTACTACTACCATCACCACCACTCCACTACCACCATTACTACTACAATTACCTCTCATCCACCACCGCTACTCTATCTCCTCTACCACTACCACAACTTCACCACTAATCTCATTCGATATCACCACCACCACCACTATTACCTCTTATCCACCACCTTCACCACTACTGCCGTTCCCTATCCTCTAATTAGTTCCTGATTTTTAGTAACCCCCAATCTCCCCCACTTGGCCCGCCATTTTTTTTCCATTCCCGTTCAGGTTACCAAAAACCCTCAATCCTGTCTCTTTGTCTCTATCTCTCTTCTCTTTCTCTCTCGCACTCATCACTCTTCTCTGTCTATCTGTCTCTCTCTTTCTCTCTATGTCTCTGTCTCTCTTCTCTTTCTCTCTCTCACTCATCACTCTTCTCTGTCTGTCTCTCTGTCTCTCTCTTTCTCTCTGTGTCTCTCGTCCATCTCTCTTCTCTCCATCTCTCTCTGTCTTTCTCTCGTTTATATCTTTTCGCTCTTTGTCTCTATTTTTCTTTGTCTATCTCTTTTCACCAATTTTTTCATTTTCCTCTCTCTCTTTTCTCTCTCTATTACTCATCACTTTCCTCTCTCTGTCTGTCTCTCTCCCCCCTCTCTCTCTCTGTCTCTCACTCATCTATCTCTTCTCTCATATATTTTCTTTCTTTATCTCTATCTCTCTTACTCATCTCTCTGTCTCTCTCGCTTATCTTTCTTCTCTCTCTATCTCTCTCTTTTTCTATGTCTTTCTCTCGATCATCTCTTTTCACTCCATTTATCTCTCTTTGTCTATCTCTCACTCATCTCTTATTTCTCTCTCTTTTTCTGTTAGTCTGTCTGTCTCTTTCTGTCTCTCTATATCTCTTTCTCTCTCTGTCTCTATTACCTCTTTTCCAACACCGCCACTCCATCTCCTCTACCACTACCACAACTTCACTACTAATCTCTTTTGCCATCACCACCACCACTACCATTACCATCACCTCTTATCCACCACCTTCACTATTATTGCCGCTCCCTCTTCTCTACCACAAAAAATTAGCTCTTGATTTTTAACAACAAAAAAAAAGGGTCACAAAAAAATATTTTTTATTAACCATAAAAAATTAATTTTATTTTAACAAACAATATTTTTTTATTAAAATATTACCCCTACTTCTAGCAAATAAAAAAAATTCATTAAAATAAAAATAAAACAAATTTTCCTCTTTTTTCATTGACTCACTGGACGGCCCGCCCAAACTTTCCCCCCTTTTTTTCCCTCTACCTTTCCGCCCTTTTTTTCATTTCCTTTCAGGTTTGTAGAGCCCCTAATTTCACAAGACTGTGTCAAAACAGTGAGCAAACCTTAATCTGAGTGAGAGAAGATAAAGGGTTTGAAGACAGACTGGGGTTGAAGGGGAAGGGTTTCAATCGACGGCGAGACTGGTTTAGCAGCGGCGAGACTAGTTCGGCGGCGAAACGGTACGCTTCTTTTGACTCTTCTTTCGACTCTCTCATTCCAGTCGGTTCCTCTATCAACTGGGTTGAAATGGTTCCTCTATATCTCTATGTTGCCCCCACCGCTATAGCCATGGCAGCTTATTAGTGGTGGTGGTTGTTTTCTGCGAGCATCGGTAATGTCGCAGACGCGGCACATTTTTTGATAAATTACAATTACATCCTGATCATGAGATGTCAAAGATAGTTGGGTGAGAGGTCACAGCTGAATAAGCCTTGATACATTGCAAAAAAGGGGAAAAGAAATCTAAGGTAGCTATTGTTTGTACTGCATTTTTTGATAAATTACAATTACATCCTGATCATGAGATGTCAAAGATAGTTGGGTGAGAGGTCACAGCTGAATAAGCCTTGATACATTGCAAAAAAGGGGAAAAGAAATCTAAGGTAGCTATTGTTTGTACTGCATTTTTTGATAAATTACAATTACATCCTGATCATGAGATGTCAAAGATAGTTGGGTGAGAGGTCACAGCTGAATAAGCCTTGATATAGCAGAATCAGAATACAATATAATAATTATTATTATTAAATTTTTTTTTTTTGTTTTTGATAATGTTACAGCAGAATTTTAGGGGAGAGACCTAATCCCTCTGAATTAATATTGATAAAGAGATGCACCTGAACTATTTTTTAGGGATATTTCTTGTAATTAACTTTCTTCAGTGAGTAGGATTCACCTTGAAGTTCCACTCATATTTGAGACCAAAAAAGAAGAAGAGTAGGCGAAGCTCTAAACCCATATTCAAATCTATCTTCTTACTCTCTTCAGCCAATTCCACTTTATGGTTGATTCATGTATTTGGTAAGAACACATTAGACCTTGATTTGATCATATTGTTATTGTTGATTTTGGGTCATTAATATCTCGATTTGTTCTTTTGTTGAGTTATTCTTTGGTTTTCACATTTTATATGCAATATCTGATGTTATTCTTTGGTTTTCACATTTTGGGTGTTTGTAATTTATTAGTAGTTTGTGAAATTGCTTAGTGGGTATTGAATATTTGTCTTTTTTGGGTACTGTTGTGATGTGGGTATGTGATAATTTATCATGATTGCTAAAATTTTGTAATGTCAACTGAGGAGATTTATTGTCTTTATCAGAAGGGTGTATTGAAATGCATGGTTTTATTGATGATTTGTAGAAAGATTTCAACCATAATGTTGGTTAGATCTCTTTTTATTTTGAAAGTAGATCTTTGTAGTTCTCTTGTTTTAGGATGCTTTATGCCAATGGAGTATAGACAACTTGAATGCAATGCACTAGGGATGGAAATAAAAACCATACCCAATGGTTATCCATGGAGACCCTACCCAAAATATGTGGGTTTTCCCAATTTCTCTATGCATCAGGTTAGTAGGTGATCTAATTTAATTCTTCATCGGGAAATGGGTCGGGGATGGGTAGTCCCCAAAAAAATTGTCTCTTGACATGTATACTCTATATATATATGTGCATATATGCATTTATATACCGTCCTACCAATAACTCCACAGTTGTTCCATATTGTAATCTAGATGAACTAAGTTTAAATATTATAGTGTCATATTGGTTATTTACAGACCTGCAACTGAGATGGGCCTTGGACAATGCCCCCTTTTTTCCATCTCTATTTTAAAGCAACTTATACTTTCTATTCTTTCTCTTTTTTTTTATTTCTGTATTTAAATTATGTCTTTCTTTCTTTCTTTCTTTCTTCTTGTTAGTAATGGGCGCCCATGTGGCATGACCATTTAAATTTAACATTTGATCCTTATCCAAATAGGTTTTGATTTTGAAATCAAACCTATTTAGGATAACCACTCTTGAAACAGACGTTATCAGTTTGAACTGATATAGATAGATATAATATATATTAGATATTATCTGTATCTTAACTGATATGGATAGATATATAATATATTAAAATATTTGTTATATGGTTATGGGTAATCCAAGAAAAACAACGTTGAGTCTGTTTTCAACCCATATTCTGACTCTCTCCCAAGAAACAACGATCAAGTCAGTTGCACTGTGGTTTGTGTGGGTGATATTCACCATTGTAATATCACCCCACTGCTGGGATTGATTGATCTCATTCTGGAAGCACGTGATTTATCCACGAGGTTCTATCATCAAAAGGTATGATCTGATGATTTTATCCGCTGCGTAATTGTTTGTTTTTATTTACAGGAAGAAAATAAAAGAAAGAAAAAGAATGTGGTTGACTTTTCCAACTAAAATTGCTCACGGAAGAAATACATTTATTGACTGGAATAGATTGTAATTCATTTATTGACTTTTCCAACTAAAATTCCCCACGATTTCAATGTGGATTGCAATTCATTCAAGCCTGCTGCCTCTTTCACTTGATTTATACTCAGTTTATGTTTGACTGAAGGGCTTTCCATAGTTGCATAACTTTTGTGCTACATCTGTTTTGGTTGTGTTTGCTTAGCTCCTACTTTTCCGGTCTCCTATTTCATAATTTAATTGAGGTTCACTCTGCCATTCCAGCCTCTTTTTTGTTTCAAATTGAAGTTGTTTACGGGTTGTTGTTTGCAATATTGTAAGTAAAGGAATACGCTAACCTTGAAAATATGCCATTCCAACATCTTTTTTGCTTCAAGCCTGTTGTACATGGGATATAAATATCTTAAATTTTTTGTTCCTATTGCATTCCTTGCTTTCACAGTCTTGGTGCCAGTTAATTATGCCAATGGATCTTTGGAGCATTCTAATTTAACTTACAACAACATAGGTAAGTTTTCTATCTCAAACATTCCAATTGGATCACATAGGTAAGCAAGACTCTGTGCTAAATTTGCTATATATTTTAAGTTACTTTTTTCTTTTGCCATAATATGCTGAATTGGTTTGGTTTGGTTTGGTTTGGAATACTTGAGATGGATGGAAAGGGTGTTTGCTGCACGTTGTCTTTAACTGAATGGAATGAAATCACTTTGATTGAGGAGCTTTCTTTCCTAGTGGAATAGGATGCAGGTGTAACATCCAGTGTTGCAATTCAACCTTGTCGTGGTTGATACTGGCTAGATCTTATTGTTGCCTCTCATCGCTTGCCATATAAGAGTGAATGACGATGTCTCTAAGCTCCAGCATTATGATAATGTCTACAAGATCAGAAGTGCATGCTTAGTGACTTTTGATGATGTATAGAGCTCTTTTCTCACTATTTCCTATTTTTTTGTCCATCAATTGCTACAAGGTGCATACTGTAGTTTCCTTCTCTTTCACTTTACTAGTTCCTCATTCTCTTATTGATGAATATACTCAAGCAGGTTATTACTTTATTGGTTTACATTGCTGAATTATTAACTAAATATATTTCAAAAGCATTCAAGCATTGTTCCAATATTGACATATATATTAATGAAATCGGATCTGTGTTTACATTATATATCAAGATTCTTTTGGTTTCTCTTGATAGAATTATTAGTTATCTAGTAAATGAACTAATAACATGTAAACGTCTAGCTAACATGGAGCTTTTGCCTTGCTGTAGTTAGTTCTTTCTTGGCACATGAAGGCTGCCACCATGTGTGAATTTTCCAAGCAGGAGTTCATTGGTGGTTTACAAGCTCTTGGGTAACTTTTTGTTGAGTTGTATTCACTGCTTATTCTTAATCAACAAAACCAGCCTTGAACCATTATGATGTCAACTTCACACAGTTTTTATTTTTTGATATTAGGATAGATTCACTGGAGAAGTTCTGTGACATGATACAGTTTATGTATTCTGAGCTGAAAGATGAGCGGATGTAAATGTGACATTGTTTTTCCTTCATTAGTTGCTACTTGCTAGTAGTTATAAGTTATAACTCATGATTTTTCTATTTTTTCATATGTCATGTTGCTCATCACAAAGTCAGTTCAAATGCTGTCTTGATGTTGAACTTGAGGCCTCTATGAGGAGATTGATTTTATGAACTTTAGAATTTCCACTATTTTGTTACTGAACTAATCTTCAATATGGTTGTCTAGAAAAGTTCTGTGAGATCTATGACTTTGCTTTTGGCTGGGCAAAGGAGAAGGTATGTGTAATAAGCATAAAGACTTGGATTTACATTTCTCATTATTGGTTTTCTGTCGTACTATCAAAGTTCCTAGAAGATATATCAACCTTGGTATAATTTCTCATGAGGTGGTATGCCATGTTCTATTGATGATATACCCTTGTAATGATGCCCGCCTTTTCTGTCCGTATTGTCTTGGTGGATAGTTTTTTATTAATGACAATTAATTTGACTCGGAAGTATATGCCGACATATGTGCTAATGCAATTAATAGACATTAGTTCTCAGACATGACCTATGTATCTAGAGAGAGAGTGAGAGCGGACAATATATATATATATATATATAAGGACAATGCTAATGACCGCTCATTGGGTGGTCATTAGCTTTGATATAGGTGTAAAAAGTGTATTGAAAAAGTGTATAAAAATATGTAAAAATTTGTGAAAATATATGAAAAGTGCATTGAAATTCTAACTATAATGGCATTTTCTTCACCTTAATGACAGCCCATAGCATGACCCCATATATAAAGCACAGGATTGAGAATAAAAATTACTGGGTAGCTTTAGAGTTGATCAGGGTATGGGTTTAATTAGAAAAACATTTTTATTTTATGACAACCCAAACACAGTCATATTGTCCAGTCATTGTTTTGCTTACAAGTCTATTGGAAGTGGTTTCAGTTTTGTTTTTGTATGGTCCAGATCATCGGTGTTCCCCACTAGCTGCTTCAGAGTTGGTCAAATGTTTAAAACCCTCGTGGAAAAACACATTTTAACTTCTACCTAGAAGTAGAAACCTCTAAAAAAACAGTTGAGGTCTTTAGTTATAATCTAGGAGAAGCATGGGAGGCAGCACTAGAGGATTAAATCCATGAGTTGAAGTAATTTTGTTTTGCAATTTTGGCTTAGTCTAATCACATAATTGACAGTGTTTTTTACTGTAATGTAAAGCGTCAAATGCATGGATTGGTGGGCTATGCCCCCCCCCCAAAAGTCATCAGATTAGGTCCTCAAAGGACATGACTGCAATTAGTTTCTTCTTTCTGTTTGCAAATGAAAATCATATTCGGTTCTCCGAAGAGCAATTGGAAATGGATGCTTTTTCTGGTGATGTCAAATAGATATTTCATATTTTGCAACTTTGGGATATGTGGAATACTCTGCAGTTGTTGATTTTCTTTGTCAATCACAAGGTCAGAAATCTTTGGCATTGGATACTGCAATCGGGATGTGGCAGTTGCTTTTTGAAGAAAAGCATGGCCATTGGTTGATCACTGGTGCCAGTTCATGCAGGTAGCCTAATGGAACATATATTTGGCAATTTTTAAAAATTTTCTACAAATTTGCATGGGAGCTAGTGAATTATCCTAACTTGTGATGTGTGTTCGGTAATCATTAATTCATATATTCCCTGAGTATTTCCTGATTTTTGTTAATATTGTGATGCTGGATGGAAGAGAAAATTGAAACCAAAAGAAAAAGAAAAGAAAATAACGAAACTGAACAATAACAATTCTCCAAGCTCAATCTTATTCTTCAATATCAATTCAAGTATGACAAATTCATTACATAGAAGCCTATTTATAGGCATCCTACGAAACCTTAATTGAAGTTTCTAAAAATACTCATTACGATAGGATTTACAATATGAAAATCCTAATTTAATAAATGAAACCCAATAAATCATATATAAGAAAATAATACTAAAGTAAATCCATAATCTTCAATTTATGCTCATCCAATGTCTTCATGTTCCTTGTCACATTGGTCTATTGATGTCATACAAATTGGCCACCCATTAGCTCTATAAGAAGGTTTGGGGTTGTTGGAGTGGGGAAAGGTTCTAGTTTTCTCCCTTCATGTTGAGTTTCCGTTACTGGAGAGACAAGCTCTCCTAGAGGGGCTATGGCTACAGAAGTGTGATATGTCCAGCATGAACTTCCAAGCAAAAGCTTTGAATTTTAGCCCAAACAACTACATATGAGTTGGCAAATTTATGAATCCTGATGAAGCGAAAGTGTGTGATGCACCAGGCTAATGATGTTAGTGACTATGCTTGATTATAACGACTTCCTTTTGCATAGAGATACGAAAGGTATGGAAATCTTATGGTATAATTTTTAAGGGGAAAAAATCATGATTTAGTTCATTGCTCGCTGTTTCTTCATGTTTTATTAATAGTGTTTTTAACAAAATTTTTGTATGGTTACTCGCTCTTTTCTCGGTTGCTAAGAAACTTGTCATGATTTCCAATAGGGTATTATTTACTTTATTATGTTTGTGAATTTGTTCATATTGAGTTGCTGAAGTTTGGTTAAAATTACTGGTTGAACTCCCTAGAATCTGCCTTCATTTGACTTTTTCAGATTTCCATCTAACATATATGTCAAATTTTCTGGTTTGGTTGGAACTCAATTCGTAGACAGACATGCATGAAATGGGTAACTGTTTTCTCTTCTTTTTCCTCCAAAGGTGCAAAAGAAAATGCAGCCTCTGCATCTCCAAAACCTGTTGCTGCTGGTGATAATAACTGCAATGTATGTACTCCCCCCCCCCAAAAAAAATGGAGTAAATTCTTGAGTTTTTATTTATTTATTTATGGGTACCTAGAATTATGGTTCAACAGTAATAATAATATATTCACAAAAAGATCGTACACAAGCTGTATTGAGATTTATCATTTTTAAATACTGTGCTCATTAGTGACCTCCTAATTACAATGCCATTGACACTGAGATGCTATGGCATCTAATTGTTAACAGGGAAGTTACTTCCAAAATGATTAAGATCAAGCAGAAATGATTAATGTTCCTATTTTGGTTTGCTGAATTAACTTTTTAGTTTATTCATATGCATCAACGGTTTCTGGATTAATTTGTGTTTTCATTTTTCAGGTCAGAAATTTTTTGGAGATGCAAAATATGATCCAAGAATTAAAGAACTTAGTTTTTTAAGTTTTTTCATTTTAATATATGTAAGCACAGTTAATTTTTTTTTATTTAATTCTTTTGTATATACTTTTGAATATTTAATTTTCATTTATGAAATATATGACGTTATTCTATTCAATATGTGGTTATGATTCAAAATATAGTATATAGTGTGTATTACATTATTCAAATGTGCATACAAAAATAATATTGATTATTTTTTAAATATGTCGAATCCTTTTTTTATCACAGATTTTATTAGTTATCAATCACACTTAAAAGATGTGATATAAATGTTATTAATCACACTTAAAAAGTGTGATTAAAAATGATCATTTTTAATCACACTTCCAAAGATCACACTTTAAAAGGTGTGATCAAAATATTTTTAATCACACTTAAAAGGTGTGATCTAAATATTTTTTAATCACATTTAAAAAGTGTGATCTAAATGTTATTAAGCACACTTAAAAAGTGTGATTAAAAATGACCTCTTTTAATCACACTTCCAAAGATCACACTTTAATAAAACTTAAAAGGTGTGATTAAATAATATACATCACACCAAAAAAGTGTGATATTTATTTGTTTTTGTAGTAGTGAGGCCTAAAATAACCAAATAGCTAGAAAGTAAAAAAATAACCACTTCCCAAATGAGGCGATAATGTGCTAAAAAAATAAGTGAAATCATAATTGGATGAGAGTGCACTTGGCCAATACATATCCATAAATTAAAGTGAGATCAAGAGAATGGTATATAAAAACAATATGTGATTTGATGCCAAAGTTAATCTAATCAAATAATTTGTTGAGTTGATTATTCGTGTACAATCCAACACGAGATTAAAGATCAATTCTTGCCAATAACAAAGATTGATTATTTTTTTTCTTTTGTTGAGCTTGTAACAATACATTGTTAGATTACAACTGTCCATTTTCAATATGCAGTATCGTTGTTTGAGGGCAGATTTTACTGTTTTACTCAGTTGCCAATCCCAACCATTGGGCTAATTGTAATTGTTGTGGTAATGAAGTGTTCTTTTGGATTTTTTTTAATACGTTATTCAGTAACTTCATATTTTTAGTGAGGCTATTAAAAGATCAATACCAGGATTAAAACTTGCATATTTTTTTTAAATATATTTTTGGAGTCGGTCTATTTCTAGTAGCTTAAACTTAACAGCTTGCTTTGGTTGACAAGAAATAGATAACAATCAGGGGTTAGAATCTTGCCAACAACCATTGATTATAACTCATAAGATTTCATATTGTCTTCCTTTTATTTCTAGTGAATCAAATTAACCATCAGAAGAACAATTACACCCCAAAAAAAAAAAAAAAAAAAAAAAAAAAACTTCATATATTGAGGACAAATTTTGCAGTTGACAAAACAAGAAAGCAAAAACAAAAACAAAAACAAAAATGAAAAAGAATTCCCTACGCGGGGAAAATTTGAAGTCTCCTAAAATGAGTCCCTCCATGGCAACAACTTGATCTCTTCCCGGACCTACTCACCTTGAGATATCCGATTTTGGGGTGTAACCTAATTGTTCTGTCTCCCAATTCAGCTTTGAAGCAACTCTTTCATGCCCGGGAATGTACTCCTGAAAACAAAAACCAATAAAAATCATTCATTAAAAGTGCTGTTTCAGTGCATGAGACTTTTGTGACAAGAAGCAGTTATCTACATTAATTGTCTTCCTATTGAGTGTTTTTACCTCCAATTTCTTCACTAACTCCCTCGCGTTAGGGGCTGATATGATGATGTGGCGCGAGCTTGGGCTAATGAAACCTTCCTCTACTGCTTTGTCAATGAATGACAAGAGAGAGTTGTAGTACCCATCTACATTCAACAATCCAACCTACACACATATATTCACCAAAGTGGAGCTTGTCTTTGAGATGGTTCGACAACCTTTCTAAACTTTCTTCTTCAGAAGACAGTCTTGTTTTTGTTTCTGTTTTCATTTTTTAAAAAATACAAAACAAAAGGAACATGAACAATTACCGGTTTGTCATGGATGCCAAGTTGAGCCCATGCAATCACTTCAAGAAGCTCTTCAAGAGTTCCATAACCACCTTTATCCAAGAACACAATTTTATTCAATCAACATCTGCTATTACTAGTATTCATGCAGTTCAATGACGACATTCGGTTGTCAAGTTAAGTACATGGATTGTTTAGATCATGAGTTCGAGTTACTCTCAAGTATGTGACATATTTTGTCTGATGAAATTGTTGGACTTTGTTCGGTATATTGTATTTCCCAATATTAACCAATTATCTCCAATCGACTAGTTAAAAGAAAAAAAAAAAAAAAAAAAAAAAAAAAAAAAAAAAAATCCTTATAAACCAACATCATTGGGGACCAAACCTAGACTAGGTCTAAGTTTCAAGAGCGAAAACATGTCATGTTAAGGATAGAGTGAAATTTTCTGTCTTAATTTTTTCTATCACCTGTCTCAAACCTTCTCTTAATACATCGTATCAAATAAGTAATTATTTTTTAAAACGAGAACATAAACATTATATGGTGGGGAGATGGTTTGAAATATGAGGATGTAAAAAATCAAAACAGAGAATTCCGTGCCAACGAACATAGACAATAGTCTGCTGTCATTTTTGCAATTGATGGGGCAAACAATGGACAGTAGTTGGCAAAGGTACTGTTTTTTCATTTTTCTTATTTTGGTGAATGTTTGGTACAATAAACAACCAAAATACAATAAACGACCAAAATATGGGACCACTACCAAATTCCAGGGGTAAGAAAATTTAGTGTATGGTTCACTTGAAATACAATGGGCCCGAATACTCATTTCTATATTTATTTTGGGAAAAATTTGGAGAAAAAATGTAAATAGAATTACCACTCACCAATTTATTAGATTTTATTTATTTATTTTTCATGAGAAGGTAGAGAAATACCCATTCTATTTAACACTTGTTTGGTTCGTTGGAATGCATTTGGTCAGGAATAGAATGACCATTCACCTAAATTAGTGAATGATAATTGCATTTGAAATGTACTTTTTCTTTTCTTTTTACTGAACTAAATATGAAAATGAGTGTATCTTCAATGAAATGATCATTTTATTTCAACTTGTATTGCAGTGAACCAAACAATGCCTAAGAGTTTGAGGAAGACAAACCAGGCAATGCAATAAAGGCATCTGAATTTCTAGCCATCTCTGCCTTCCTTTGGTGCATGTCTGCTACTGCCTTCACTTCCCCAACTGTTTCCCCAGTTAGCTGCAATTCAGTAGATCACCATGTTTGTCCAATGCCCCATACAAAAATTCACATATGAGGGAGAGAGAGAGAGAGAGAGAATTCTTAGGCTGCCCAAATTTCTGAAGAAACTATTCAAGAGTGTTTGTGCAAAGAGGCAATGATGAGTGCTAATTGGAGGTAGGAAAATGTTTATTTTTTTATTTTTTATAATATCATTACACACAAAGTTCCGAGTCTCGCTCATAATTATTAATGCAGACCCTACTAACAATGTTCAATGATAATTAGAAATCTGTTTTTATATAACATTATTTTTAGAATAAGATTCAACTTGTGGTACGTGAGGTTGACATGGATTAGACGATTCGGATATCAAATGAAATGTAGGGCTTCATGTCACACAAGTTTCTAAAGATGATGTTATGGAAGCGTGCGGTCTATTATAGTTTTGGTGGGCCTAGTATTTAGTATAGAATAGAACATGAGTCGGAATATTCTAATATTTGGGAAAGATAAAAGATTAAATATCACTTGATGTCATATGTTCATAAGACTTTAGTCTTTTGATGTGTATGTCAAGTTTCAAACTTTTTTTGATGCATTGATCAAATTTTCATGTGTCAGAATCAATTTAATAGATAATTTTTTAGCAGGAAATAAAAGTAGAAATAAAGAAAATGCATATCAAAAATAAATAAATAAAAAGAACTTCGAGACCAAGAAAAATATCAAGGAAGTGAAAAGATATTGAAAACCCAAGTGAAAAAAGAAAAAGAAAAAAAATTTAACCACTTAGAAACTTCCACATGGTACCTTTACAAAAGTCCCTGAAGAGACAAGTGTGAAATCCATATCCATGATAACAAGTAATAGTTGCTACCACAACATGAAAACACCCCACTCAAGAGCTAAAGGAAAAAATTGTAGATAATGCTCTCTCTCTCTCTTATTTTTCTCTCTCTTCCTCTCTCAAAGTTTTGACATGGAATCTTCCAACATACGGGCATTTTGAATTATTTTTATTGATTAATCTTAAATACGTGCAATCATTCATAAATTATAATTATTTAACAGACAATTAAAAATATTGTTAGTCAGAGCTGAACACAAATAGTAATATTACATACTTGAAATATTTAATAAAAAATATAAGTATGTAATTCAAATTAAAAAACGTACCAATTCAATCTTAACCATACTATAAAATTCTTGATGAAATTTTTATCACTTCTTCTCAATAAATTAGGTTTACTGAAACACAATTTTTTTGAATTTACGTTTGGTTCTAGTGACAACTTTAAACTATTGGACTACTTCCATGGGTTGATTTTTTTTACATATATTTTTTTTAAATTTTTAAATAACAAGATTAGGGTAGTAGCAAACATACCTCTCTAGGCATAAGGGTCTTGGGAATTACTCTGGAGACAACAACATGACAACATTCTCAATAAATTAGGTTTTTCTGAATTTACGTTTGGTTCTAGTGACAACTTTAAACTATTGGACTACTTCCATGGGTTGATTTTTTTTACATATATTTTTTTTAAATTTTTAAATAACAAGATTAGGGTAGTAGCAAACATACCTCTCTAGGCATAAGGGTCTTGGGAATTACTCTGGAGACAACAACATGACAACAAATTAGTTAGTTACAAACAAATTTTTTGCATAAAAAATTCATAAAACAGTAATATTTTTACAACTTTGAGCCACAATGATAGATATTTTTATGCCTTAAAATAGAATACAAAACATTGTATCATTCTATAAATAAATAAATAGAAATTGTATAAAAATCCTGTTTATATAGCAATATCAGGCTAGTAAGACCAAAAAATATTTCCAAACTCAATTAAAAATTTGTTGTCAACCCTTGATATTTTATTTTTTAATCATATATTGATGAAAAAGTTGGAGAAAGAATGGAAAATAAACTTACCCGAGAACATGGCGACCCCCATTGTAAACAGCTTGGGAAATCAAACCCATCAATCCAATACTCCCTCCTCCATAAACTAGATCTATGCTCCTTGAAACCTTCATCAAATCAATGAAAAAATCATCCAATTACCCAGTTTACCATTTTTGAATTCAAAGTACAATTACAGAGAGAGGGAATCATCAAAGTACATGTCATTAATGTTGTGTTTGGTTAAAAGATTTGAGGAGGAATTTGAAAAAAAAAAAGAAAAAAATGTGTGAAACTAAGTGAAATATAAATATATTTTATTCATATTCTACTTATATTTTCCATTTTCTTTCCCAAATTCCTTCTCAAATCCCCTAAACAAACACAATTTGATTTGGTAGAGAAGAAAGATGAACTGGTGTTGTTAACATTCATTGAAAGAAGAGTACAAGTTAAGCACATCTCATACATTCAATATGTACATAAATAAGATGGGCTAACTAAAATGTCAGAAAGAGAGAGAGAGAGAGAGAGAGGAAAACCCTCAGTCTGGAATTTTCAAATGGGACATCTCAGAAAATTTAGACAAGGACATGAATTGATGAATCAATTCATAGTAGTGATCAACAATAGAGCTTTTGGAACATCTTTTGATTCAATAAATAGAATGTTTCATGACAGAAAACCACTTCTTGAGAAGCAAAGTTGTTAAATTGCTAGAAACAGAACTAAAAACAGAGAGCAGTAGAGTAACATATACCAATTCCCTCCCAAGCTCAATAGCAGCATCTTTGTAGCTGCTCTTCTTTCCTGGGCTACTCCCACAGAACACACATACCCTCTTGAATTTTGATTGCTTCATTTCCTTTTCTCTCTCCATCTCTCTCTCTCTCTCTCTCTCTGTATGTCTCTGTTCTGTGTTGTTATGGGGCTTCTCTGTTCTGTGTTGTTATGGGGCTTTTGTAGTAAAACACTAGACCCGATAACACTGACGGTCCTGCAATTTGAAACTTGTGTTATTTTGATCACACAGTTTTTAATTGTGATATATTTAATTTTAAATTTTGAATTTTATTTTAAATAAAGATAATTGAATATATTGTTATTCTATTTTAAGGGTAAATTTGTTAATTTGATAAAATATAAATTAGTTTGACTAAAATAAATATCAAAAAAAATTAAAAAATTTTAAAAATTATTTATACACACCAAAGATAAAATTATATAAAAATGATAAATCTTTTATATTTTTATTTTTTTACTCAATTATTTTTTAGTATGAGTTTGGATGATGATCATATATTGAGTGTTTAGTTTTGTTGATATTTTTGGATGATTTAATAGATAATTATATTTGTTGTTAATAGATATTTTTAAATAGTTATTATGTAATAGATATTTATTAGGCTTTTAATGTGTAATTAATATGTTTAATATATGAAATTTTTTAATTTGAATTTTTTGATTTAATGAATTGGTTTAATAATGACATTAAAGTTATTGACATGTTTGACTTTTAAAAAAATAGAAACTAATTTAACAAAAATAAATATAAAAAAACTATTATTTGAAAAAAATTATTTCTACCCTCCCAAAAGATAGAATTATATAAAACGATATATTTTTATTTTTATTTTACCAATTTAATTTTTAGTTTCTTAGAAAAAAAATTTGACAATAGATTTTGAAAACTAAACAAATAGAATTTTTTAACCAAGAAAGTCTAACATTATTTATTAAAAAAAGTTCATTACATTTCAAACAACATACAAGTTAATCAATACAAAATAAATTATATAATGACTTTGCCTTTAAAATGAACCGTTTGTAAATGAAACATCTTTGATTATTTTTATTTGAAACAAAATTTAAAATTCAAAATTAAATATATCACAATTTAAAAGTAAAAAATTAAAATAATATATTCTAAACTACAGAGGCTGCTAGCATAATTAATCCAAAACACTACTATGCCCGTCTCTCTCTCTCTCTCTCACTCAATTTGGGAGCACCATGCAAATATTCACAGCCCAAGTGACCCCACAAGTTTGACAAATTTTTTTTTTTTTTTTTTGGGAGTTGAGGTGCTTCAATACTTGATGCCTTTTCAATATGCATATATACAAAGGGTATCACACACATAGTACATTAGCACAAAGCCAAAGCTACACTTCATATGCCATGTTCTTAGATCCCTCCTAAAGCCTAGTTGCACCTACTTGCATCACCAATGAGACACAAATTATAGCCGTAATTTCTATAATTTATTCTTAAATCGCTTTGAAAAAAGTGAATTAGTTATTTTATTCTTCGATTTCAGTTCAATTCTTAAAGAAACATTATCAACTTGATAAGTTGACTCTACATGAAAAATGTTAGGATAAAATTGACGCAATTATGATTATAATAACCAAATTATGACCCCCAAAAAAAAAAAAAGACAACAAATTGGTAGTCATTTAGTCAATGATACAAGGCTTTTAGTGTGTCAATGGCTCCATTTATATTGTTCATTGAGCACAAATCATATATTTCAATCTATGTCTCCTATTTATTATATATTAGATATCACCAAAATTAATGACAAAGAGTATGGAGGAGAGAATTATACAAGAAGCGTAACAGATGATCCCACACTGTTAATTGGGCATAAATCATCTGGCTTACTTTCTATTTTGTCATATGTCTCATATTCCATCACATATTGTTATACTTAAATCCATGGCAGAAATAGTATGAAACAAATAATGGTATAGGGAGTGAGACAAATGTTTTCATACTTTATTCACCCTCTTGATGATTAACATAGAGAAGTAAGTCTTGTTTAAAACAATAGTCTTTACTATTTTAACTAATTGGAGATGAAAATTTGCTTACACGATTAGAAGGTGAAAAGGGAATACAATTATGATAGTACTTGAAGAAAAATAAGGGTTCCATTTGGATTTATAAGTATAAAATGAGCGGTGTTGGACATCAATAAAAAAAAAAACATTACTCAAATTGAAACATGGATTTCAATAATGAATTTGAGAGTTTTAATAGTCAACACTCTCATACTTTTTATAAAGTGTAACCTTAAATCCTTCGATTGGAAATTCATCTATCGCAATTTCCCAATGGAATCTAAATTCTTTAAAGTCTTTATTTGGTAAATAGACCAAAATATTGACTTCATTTAATTGGATTTAAAGCTTTTGATATGTTATTTTCATGAGTTCATGACATTACTTTTGATCAAAAAACTTAGGGATGGTTCTTGGGAGATGCCTCTATATATGAACAATAGTTCTATAGGCTTCACATAAATTTCATCACCAAACTTCCCCAATTTATGTTTTTCATGGTTGTATGAATCAATTTTTATTGACAAATTCCACTCTTTTTTTGAGAAGTATCGTTTTCATTTTTAATGCTTTCATATTTTATTTCGCTTTCATATTGTTTTTATTTTTGTGTAAAAGTATTTTTTGAAAATTCAGAAAACTTCTTGAAATTGGTTATTTTAAGATTTTAAAAAAAAAATTATAGTGAATAAAATTTTCATGTCTATCTTCGTTTTTTTTTTTTTCAAGATTAAAAAAGAAAAAGAAAAAAGAATAACACTTGATTGTATGCGCAGGAAACATTAATATTCATATAACAAAAAATAAACAATGAAAAATAATAAATAGTACGGGAAATTACAAATGAGTGGGAACTTCTTAAAATAATTACATATTCATAAAAAAAAAAATTAACACTTTAAGTATTAAGATTTTTAAATTTTACCACTAATCAAAATTTCTTTTTTCAAATTTTCACTGAATTATTATTTTTCCTCCATTAATTCCTCAACAAGATAGAAACATGTTGTCTGCAACCCCATGCCCAACTAATAGCTTTTGTCTCTCGCGGCTGTATTGGGAACACACCAAAAAAGTCAATTTTTTACTTAAAATAACTCAGTTTTTTGTTAAAAAAATCATTAAAAAAATCAAAAAATTAAAAAATTAATTTTTTACCAACTTCTGAAAACACCACTCAATCTCTGCCTCTCTTCTCTTGTTTTTTTTTAATTTTATTTATTTATTTATTTTTTACACATAATTAATTTAATTTTATTGAAATCATTGTAGATGTTGTGAGTGGTATCTTGCAGTAGAATAGTAACCACACAACATGGGTAGCCAATGGAATAGAAAATTTACTCAAATAAATTAGTCCCCTCCCTACTGTTTCCATCAAATATGGTATGGGTTACACAAATTTCTGCACCCTTCATTATTATGGCTTTAAAAAAATAAAAAATAAAAAATAAAAAGGGGGTATGGTCTGCACCCTTCACTTAGATATTTTATTAATTTTTATTTTTATTTTTATTATTATATTATCATAATCTAAATTTAGCTTGATATTTTATTAATTTTTATTTTTATTTTTATTATTATATTATCATAATCTAAATTTAGCTTGATGGAGACTTATCATCGTAAGAATGGTAGTACAAGGAGTTGGATCAGCTAAATTGGGACAGAAGATTTGAATCCGTAATTGGAGGGGGTGAAATAAATATAACAATAAATTGCATTTCTCTTTATTATTTAATTTTTTAGTATAAAACTATACCCAGGCCTATTTTGGTAATTAAAAAAAATTAATTTATTAGCATATTTGAATCATATTATTATTATTATTATTTAAAAAGTCAAAAAATTCAAAAAAATTAACTTTTTTTTTTTAACTTTTCAAAATAGGTTAAATTTAAAAATATATAAATCGATTATACAACCAAACACAAAATTGTTAAAGAATTATGTTGGATATTATGGCCAAGTTTGGGAATTGTAAAAAAAGTTAAAAAGTCAAAAAGTTATCACTATTTATCAAAAATCAAAAATTACGGCTGCACAACTCTTAATCCTAATTTTTCCTTACACACTAATTTATACAGTTTTTTAGTACGTATTTTTTTTATAAAAAGTTAACCCAAACATCTATATTTTTTCCCTCAACTTTTTAATCTAAAAAGACAAAAAATACACTTATTTAAGACACCTCAAACAACCCTTATAACTAATTTCTGTACAAGAAAAAAAATGTTTTTTTTTTATGCATCCATTAACTGACACGTGTACCAGCTCCTCCATAACCCTCCCCCCTTAAAACAGGTGTGCCAGTGAACTGTCGCCCCATTATTGATGAAAAAAATGTAAAGTTTGAGAGAGAGGATCGGACAGGCTATGATGTATTGACACGTAGATAAGACCCAGTTTTTGAGAGTGTACGTAGGAAGTCCAGATCCTCTGTAGCCCTCTCTCCCTCTCTTTCTCTGTCTGTCTCTTCTTCCTCAGCACATCCATCCTTACTCTGAAGATTTCAGCCACGAACCAGAGCTTCGACGACCGTGAACCCGAGCCCTGTTTTGTTGCTGTTTTTTTGGTCATTTTTTGTACTGAAATTAATCGACAATGCTACGTAGCTCAAATTTTATAGTTCAAAAGTGACTCAAATAGCTCAAAACGACGTCGTTTTGAGTACAGAACAACATAAAAATAGTTAAAACGACGTCGTTTTGACCATTTGAGCCACTTTTGAACCACAAAATTTGAGTTACGAGACATTTTCTGAAATTAATGTTGTTTGTTGCTGCTGTTTTAGTGCTATTTTGCTGCTGATTTGCTATTATTTTGTTCTGAAAGTAATTCTCTATTGGTGTGGAGAAAATCAATCCGCAACCGTCCGCTCATCATCACGCATCCGTCCAAAATGTGGCGGATCGGTTCGGTTCGGTCGGTTTTGGCGGATCGGTATATCCGCTGCTCACCCCTAATTATGGCCAAGTTTGGGAATTGTAAAAGAAGTTAAAAAGTCAAAAAGTTATCACTATTCATCAAAAGTTAAAAATTACGGCTGCACAACTCTCAATCCTAATTTTTCCTTATACACTAATTTATACAATTTTT